AGCAACTTTACAATTGTTCAATTAAAATAAACGTATTTTGCTCCATACAATGTGTCTGTTGTCTTTGAATGTCATTTTATTTTACTTTTAGGCTAATCAGAGGACTTAAAGCGAAAGTCCCCTAAACGTCCTGAATGGCCGCTGCACGTCCTGTGAACGTCCCCTTGAACATCCGGAGGACGTCTTTGTGAACGTCCGCTCGACGTCAAGGGGACCCTACACGCTGACGTCCGGGGGACATTCGCAGAGGCCATTTAGGGGACGTCCTGGGGACCTTTTTTTGTTAGCTGGGCTGTTCTTCTAGTATTTAACTGCAGCGGCTGAAGCATCAGAAGTCTCACTCATTCACAGAAAACAGCTTACTTCCAAAACAAGGCAGATGAAGGCTGTTAGCTTAGCTTAGCTTAGTTTTTGTGATTGTTTGTCTCTCCATTTAGAGTCAGTGGAGATCAAACTGTTCAGGTCCATCATGAGTGAAACACAAACATCTGGAGATGAAGATTTGTTTCCAGCACGCAGGTACTTTGAGTAACACATTAAATAACTTATGTTATAGAAGAGATGGCTGTAGATAAAGCCATAAAGCCCCCATAAGAGCTTTCCATTAGTAATACTTTATGAAGATTTTATATTAAGATGATTCTCATTATAATGGATTAAATCTGTTCTGTTTTAGCTCAGTTCATCAGAAGAGATCAGAAGCAGAGCCCAGCTGTGTGTCTATGAAGAGTGACTGGTCTATGAATCGACCGCCAACAATAAAGTTTAAGAGTGGAGATTCATGGCCTGGTCTCAGGTATAATATTTGTATAAACATATGATTATAACATGACATTTATATTATCATATATGATCACAGTTCAGTTGACAAATTCTGTATAATGAACTGTAATCTCTCTCTGTTTTAGCTCAGTTCATCAGAAGAGATCAGAAGCAGAGTTCAGCTGTGTGTCTATGAAGAGTGACCGGTCTATGATTCGGCCGCCAACAATAACGTTTAAGAGTGGAGATACACGGCCTGATCTCAGGTATAACAATTTTATAAAATATGATTATAACATGACATTTATATTATCATATAGGGATGGACGATATGACCAAAATCTTATATCACGATAGAAGTAACTTTATTTCACAATAACGATATATATCACAATTGTTATTTTTGCTTTTAATAAGATGTTTATGATATAAAAACTTTTGATAACATAGAATTTTCATAATTTTTGTCACCAGTGTCAATATCACACAAAAAACTAATACAATCTCACTGAAGATAAGTAAACAGTCAGTGATGAAATAAGAATAAGAAACTAATTGAAAGCAACAGAACAAACAACTAGAATAAATATAAGAAATGCTACTAAGAAGATATAGGAGATAAAACACTCAGCTTGTTGTAAAAAAAAGTGTAGAAAATATATAGCCAGGGACAACATTTGGAAAAATTAAATAAAATTAATAATAATATACATAGTGTATAATATATTATGACCAGTACATAAAATTCAGCAGCTCTGCCCACAAGCCCTGTGCTGGATCTGTCAGAAGGCATTTAAGTGAAATGTGTCAGTCACGTCATCAGTCCAGCCTTAGAGCCTGATGTAAGCGCTTGCTACAGCCTCTTTTCACCCCACAAACACCCCTAATTTTGTTGGGGAGCTTTTTTATTTTCTTGTATTTTTTACTTCAGCGCTAAGTCATACTAGAGTGGCCTACTAAGCAACCCATTCACAGGGGAGCATAATTCTACTTCTTCTTAGAGCTTAAGAACCTAAGGGGAGAATACATTTACATTTAGTCAATTAGCAGACGCTTTTATCGAAAGCGACGTACAAATGAGGACAACAGAAGCAATCAAACCAACAAAAGAGCAACATTACAATACGCAGCACACGTAGCAAGTATTATTTTTTTTTATAATAAATAAAACTAATGTAAAGTAGATAGAATAGAGATAAAATTGAGAGCTAATGTTAGAGGCATGCATAAGTACTTAGGGTGTTGAGAAAATAGGTGATTCAAGGGCTCTTTCTGTCACTTGCTTCAGAGAATACACTCTTCAGAGAGGAGAGAACACATCCTCCAGCAGCATTGCTGAGCAGCGTCTGGACAGATTCCATGCTGTGCAGAGACTCCCAGACCTGTCTTGCTTTGCATATGTCTTGCCAAAAGTCACAAGGTGTTCAGCAGAGGAGGAAAATTAATTGATAAAATCTGCCTCTACTGCCCACCTAGAAGCCCAGGACAGAAGCTGCCATTTGTTATTTCAGCAGTAATTATTATTATTATTACCATTATTATTCTCATCGCACTGGATTTGAATAAAGCAAGAACAGAGTTTACCATGAATGCAATGTAATGAGACACAAGTAAAACACTATTCTTAACCAGAAGGAAACATGTACTCTGAATAAAGTAGTGGTAACAACCTAGGCAACTATTAAGTAACAGTCTTTACAGAACATTCATTGTCATATATATTGCCTAAACTGATGACATTAATACATGAACAGTCAGCAAACAGTCTACTGATATTTGAACAATTTCAACAGCATTTCTTTGCAGTTACTTCAAACACTTTTGTAATCAGTAAGTGCTGAACTCATACAGAACAATTTTCTTTCCTTTTAAGCTACATTGTGTGCAACTTAGATGCAGGACAGTCCTGTTTGGGTTGTCACATAGTCCTTGTGCCAAATTGGCTTACGCCTCATACGTGAGACTTTCACAGGATTGTGTGTAGTGTTAAGTGTTTGCTGTAACGCGTTACTAGCACAGTCAATCAATCCAGGTGAGTATGCCAGGTGAGCGGCATTCCACTTTTTTCCATCACTGAGTAAGAATGTGTTGGGTCCCACTCTCTTTTCTACTCTTACAGGAGCCGAGAATCTCGGATGACCTTTTGGAGTTGCGCGAGGAAGCCTAATCCTCACTCTCCCTCCCATACCAAAGAGAGGAGTGCGAGCACTGCGTTTGTGATCTGTGTATTGTTTCATTTTATCCTGTTTCTTTTTCACATTCGCACGGACAGCAGCAAGATCACATTTGCTCAAGGTAGGATGTTAAGCTTGGTATGCATCTTCCTCCCATACTATAGTTAATTTGGTGACACGCCCGTAGTGGCATGCGGTGTTGCCCGGTACACCTGCAGCCACTCTGTGACAACTCTGTTCCATGGTTGTGCATGCTGAATTGCTGTCTGGATGCACCCTTTCAGTGCGCGGTGAAATCTTTCAACAGCGCCGTTAGATGCCGGATAGTACATTGATGTACGGATGGGTTTTATGTCTCGTTGTTTCAAAAACTCAGCGAAGACAACAGAAGTGAACTGGGTACCATTGTCCATAACAACACACTCTGGGTTGCCATGACGACTAAAGACAAAGCTCAGAAATTTGGTAACAACCTCAGCAGTTGCACTGTTAGCAAATGCAAATTCTGGCCAC